CTCGCCCCTATTTTGATAGCTCCGCCCCACACATACGTACGCAACCCAGGCAACGATTAGTTCTGTGGTTTCACAATTTGAGTTGAATTACTGAAATAAATGAACTTTTCCACGACATTCTACTTTATTGAGATGCACCTGTATATACATATTTATGGTCTACACTGGATGCGGAGCGGCATGACACGACAAATTCCTGACAGAAAATTCTGCTGCGTTCTATTCATTGACACAAATTTCAAATGATTTTCAACGGTCGCTTTGTCGTCCAGTGTACTAGACAGACTTTAGCTACACTGTGTTACTCACCTATCGAGAAGAAACAAAGCAACCTCAGCGTCCGATCGATCGCAGGCCTTCCGCTCCTTGAAAAACTGCATTTTGTATTTACTTGCATTATCTTTGTGTAACATTAAAATTTGTTTGATGATCTGAATCTTTTAGGTGAAAAAAAAGTAAAAAAAAAAAAAAAAAACAGGAAGGGGGCAAAAACCTTTCCACAGCACTGTATACATACACACAACCTTTTTCATCCTGTATGTTTATTTATTATTATTTTTTTTTATGTTAATATGAGATGACATGGAGCGTCATCCAGTGCGACATCCAGTGTAACATCTGACATGATGATGTGAATTCACGCTTTTAAGATATAAATAAATAATTTTTCAGTGATAAAACATCTATAATATAATGTAATTTACTATATTATATAAAAACAATAATATAATTTATATGTTGTATTTAAATATAAAAAAAAAATAAAATAACATCTTATTATTATTATTTTATTTCTTTTTTTAGTTGCTTTTAGCCAGCATAACTGTGTAGTTTATGACACCTACCAGTAAGGGCTAATCATCCCTTTTTTTAAGTGTCCGATTTTGCACTTTTTATTTTCACTTGGCAATTTATCCATTTCTACACTTACTTATTTCCTTCTGTCATCAGACTTTCATTCTTCTCTGTTTCTCTCCCTTCACAGATTGAGGACAAAATGGAAAACATCTTACTGCAGTAACACAAACACAAGCTAGGGGGCAACAGTAACCACCTAACAGATGGTCAGGACAAGAGACACATCAACACAGGGATATGTAGACACACTTCCACCCTTCTTGTAGCGGTCCCTAAATGAGAAATTACACACTCAGTGATTTGAATGATGAGTAACTGAAGCAGATGCCTGAAGAATCTGGGCCGTATATATAAGCTGAAGTGTTTGCATGTGGATTTACCACAGTCAATCATGATATGCAGGGGACTGGTGCAGAAAATAAACGTTTTATTGTGGTTGTATGTTGTTGTACAGTATAGTACAATTTTCCCAGTTCTAGTTGACTTTGATTCCTACAACTGTAAAATCCCCTATGAATAAATGAATGAATCAATTACTCTGCCATCTTTTTAACATGTATGACTCCTGATGTGCTGCCTGCCACTTTCGTTCTTGATTTATTAAGAGAAATAAACACAGAATCTGAGTGGTTACTCTATAAAAAGCAAGCAAAGTCTCTGAATCACCTGTTCCTACAGATGGGATCCAGCTGCTGTGGAGTTGGAGAATGAAGTCTGGCTGTGGATCTCTCCACTGGGATGACAGCCATGGGATTTTTCCATATGGATGGTGATTACATACATGTATACATCTAAAGCAAGCATTTCCGTCTGAAAATAGAAATGTCTGACAGTGAACGAGAGCATGCTTTAAATGGTGCATTTAGAAATTAGGGGTAAACAAATGTAATGAAATTTTCCCAGAACTTCTGCGTATAATCTCCCTCTTCCCACTGGAGTAGGAGCAGCTGGTCATCTTCAGCAAATGTTGCTCTGCTATAAATGCCAACCCAGACAGCTGAATTATGGCCTAACCCACTTCTTTTTCTGCAATATATTCTTTTTATAAGACTGGCGATCATAGCCTTTTAGAGACGCTGGTTCACAAACAGGAAATGCATACGGGGTTTTTGTCTTGCTCTGCTTATCCATTTCACTGATGAATGTTTTGCCTCTTTACGAACTAACAATGTATTTTGCAGTACACTGTAAAATGCAGTTGATTTATTCAAAGGACTTCTCGTTTGTCTCCATAACTGAATTCAGCATTTATATGTGATTACATAAAAATTAAAAGTAGTCTTGGAATTATTTGAATGTTCTGGGTTCAGCCTTCTTATCACTTCCAATTTATTGTTGCAGAAAAGAATGCATCACATGCTAAAGATGTCAAATTTACATTCTTTAACATTTCTTCAAGGGTGGGTGATATAAGCTGGTGTGAATCTCTATACCAGCAGTTTTGACTTGTGTTAGTGACCTTGTGACCTTTTTGACTTAAAGTCGCTTCATTGTCCACAGCAATATCCAGAAGTTTAAAGTATTTTTAACTCACAATTTCTGCCCAATAAAATATTTAGAGCTTGGCATAAAACATATATTCATTATAAAAATTCCAATGGGATTTTCAAGATTTGATTAATTAACACAACCTTTAGAAAGCATGATAGGCTTTTTTGTATATTCAGGTAAGAAATATATATATTTTTAAGTAATTTTTTTCTTATTTTAAAGATTGTTTTGTCTTATTTTCAATCATTTTATGTCCTCTTGAGGCACCCTTGGACGTTTTCTGAGTTCCTATGGTTCAGAACCACTCTATACCATCTCTGGTGCATGATTGGTGCTGCTCAGCCAATGATATGAGAGAATAATGGAATCCTGCCTCATCCACGTCACCCATTGATTATATAATTCCTCTGATACACTATGACCATGCTAAATAAGATGTTGTAGACCCTTTGTTCCAGAGCAGTTTGTTTCTGTCAGACTAAAAAGGTTAGGTGGTGTAGAATTGATTCATGATCAACAAAGGCTAGTTATGCCAGATTCAGTCAGCATGAACATGTCAGATTACCAGCCATACATGTTGCAGCACTGTTTCAGAATGCTACACAATCTAAATGTTAGAGCTGACATTGCGCGTGCACTGTAGCTGACTCCAACACTCAGAAACGCAGTGTTCCAAGGGCATTGGTGGCGGCAGCGGCTGTTACCCTGTCAGTGAATATGATATGTACTCAGACTGACAGCCTCTGAAAGGTTTAATGGAGTTCTGCAAGCTAGCCATGCAAGCCAACAGTCTAGTTCCTTCCCCAATGACGGATGAATGATATGACATTGCATTACTTGCTACACGGAAAAGACTCAATCATCGTTAGGTTACAAAATACATACATCAAAAAGACTGAGAAATACTGTTAGTAGCTTATGAGCCTAAGCTGAAGATGTGCTCCGCTTTGATCTGGAAAGGAATGGCGTAACAGCTTTCACAGAAACCATCTATAATAAAAACACACTGAGCTGGTTGGAGCTTCTCTGCTTGAGAGAGAATAAAAGGCACTTTCCATAGGGTGATATTATATAAGTAAAATCTGTTTTATGTACTATATTTTTTTCTTCACATATTTCAAATAAATTATGTTTGAACTTTTTGAAGGTTGAGCTGAACACATCACAACAATTTATGTAAATGAAGTAATTATTTATTTAAGATTATTTTTGTAAGATTATAAAAGGCTCAAATGTTATTTCTTTTTTATTATTGTTTTTGTAATTAAACTAATTTATTTTTACTCAAATTCATTTAAACTTCTTTTAAAGTTTTTAATTTTTGGTTAATTTTATGTCAGGTAATAGTTTATCAAACACTTTTAATTCTATTACATTTGTATCTCTAATACAAAAGGGATAAAGGGAAAAAAGGTGAGCAAGATTCCTGCTTCATGTAACAGAATAAAAACGGGCATTTTTAAGTTTATTCAAATGCTTTGAATTTTGAATAGCCCATTATTAAAAGTTTAAGAAGAAAGTTGAGAATGGCACCTGTAAACTAGTTTAGGTTTAGATCACTTCCCTTAGGCTGGTCAAAGAGTACAGTGCATAAATAGACTGACACTTAAGTTTTACACGTGGGTCAGTGAGTCCTAGTAAGTGTGTGAGCCAGTCTGGCCATGTGTGTGGGTTGCAAATTTTGTCTGCATGGGGTCTTGAGCAGCTGTCCTAAATGAGTATTTTAAAAGAATGTGCTTTAGAAATTCAAATACAAATTCTCATTCACATTCCCTCCATTTTCAATGAAAATTGTGCCCATAACCTCCATTATATACATTCCAAATAAATAGGCTTAAACAGATGTAGTTATACTGCAGATATACTACCCTGTGCAGAATCTGCAAAATCATCAATAAATAAATACATTTGCTTTTATTTAGTATATGACTAAGCCATGAATTTAGCCATGAATAAGTGTTTTCACATAACAAATATTTAGTCCACATGACAAAATAATAACTAAATGAACATAACAACCCATTCATAAGTATAGATAGATAGATAGATAGATAGATAGATAGATAGATCTAAAAGGGTAGGCCTTCTGCAAGTCTTAGTTTTTAATAATTTATGAACCTGCCATTACTGCTGTCCACAAAAATCTCCAGCGGAGGACTGTACCTATCAGCTCTCTAACTCTGTATTGTATAATTTTGTTCAGTATTATGTTAAGTATTTGGACACATTAAAGCTAGATGACTGAGAATTATAGTGTTATTATATATACCATAGTATATTAGCTTTGATGAAATGGTCAAGAAAAATGTAATTTATAAACAGCCTACATCTTAGTAAAATTTAATTTATAAATAGCCTACATCTTGTCTAAAATGTGAAAATTCTCCTGTCAGAAAGACTCATGCTACAACGTGCCTTGCTCCCTCGAAATAGTATCCAGTACCCAAGGCGTGGTGATGTCTACGTTGTGTCTACATGTGCTACAAACCACAGGGAAAATACGTACCCTCAAGCTGTCAGTCAGGAAAGGCTCCGCCTTTTCAGACGTTCGATTGGACATTGCAGATAGCGCGCTGCATATGATTGGTCGACGCCGCTGTCTGTCAGTTTTCAAGCGTTTCTCTGCTTCCTTGCCGCTGAGCGATGTTTTGAAGGGGAAATGGGTTCGTATTTCTTTGATGGGGACGGAAGGGGGAAGTAAATAATTGAAATTTCTCTAATATCTGGCAATATACATTAAGCGACTATCAACCAACGTCCATGCCGTCTCCTTGCTCCTGAAAAAATTCGACTGGAAAACCTCCTGGATTCGTAAGACTGAAGTTTGAATCCTGTCCACCCCTGTCTTTGTTAACGTACAGGGGACGTCCGTAATAAAGTATAGAATAAATGACAGTAGGCTACCATTGACATGAATTGCTTAAAATTGTAATGACTTTATGTTTACTAGTCTTTACTGCTCTGATAAATTTCTGCCTACCAGGCGATAGAAAGCAGAAGGTCACAGTCTGGTTTGTGCGAACAAAGGATATGTTAACTTGACCGAAACGGATCAATGTGTGTATTATAAATAGCCCGTTTTCCAAAAGCGGAAATACTGGACTTGATATCTAGAAGTGGCCATTAATGTGGCTAGAGTTAGAAAATCACACGGAAGAAGATGGCAGCAACTAAAGGCAAAGCTGGAATAAATAATGAAAGCAGTTCTGGTCGGGATAGTGGCAAGACAGACGCAGGAAGTCCCACGTTATCCGCAGGGGCCGCATCCCTGACCACCAACAGGACCTACACACTAGATGACCTGGACACCATTGCCACTGTTGGTAAGTTAGCCCTTCTGCATCAAATTAAAACACGTTTTAGTCAACAAATATTTCCTAAAACGTGTTCATATTCTCCAAAATGTGTACACCCATGTTTGTCCCACCAAGTGGCTTTTTTAGTATGGCATTTCAAGGTTCAGTTTTTGATCCTAAGCTTACCATTTAGACTACCCAACTATACAAAGAGACAAGCTAGAGCTGTATAGCAGCACATTAAGTTGCCCTGGGAATTCCCTTGGGGGTGACTGCAGTAATGGGCTGTCAAGTGCACCTGCATGCTTGCTTTACCGGAGCAAGACCTAAATATAGTTCAAAGTTATGCTTTGTTGCTTGTTACCAGTAGAATTTAGTCACACTTAAGCTTATTTAATATTTGAGGCCATTCATGGAAACTAACATTTAAATTGGCATTTTGAAAATAAGTCTCAGGTGGGAAACCTCGGAAGTAAAGGTAAACAAAATGAACAAACTGCTGAGCAAACTATGAAGTTTATCAGGAATGTCTCCCTTCATATATCTTTGGAAAGGGTGAATGGCGTTAACTTTTCATGAATGAAAATAACTGAGGGAAGGTCTAAGTTTCAGAACACCAGGAAGTTTCTTTGGAAAAATGTATTTTCACAGGTGCATCAGCTGACTGCTCAACACCCAGGTACACAACAGTACAACCTATTGAGCAGTTTTCATTCACAATGACTATGTCTTGAATACAGCTCTTTTATATGATGAACATGTTTTTATGATTTCTGTATTCAGATACAAATTGATATTTTGGGGGGGCATGGTCACAAATATCAGCATGATACAATTGTGCTGATATCATAATGAAAAAAAAAGCCTAACTGAAGCATAAAGCAAAGAAATTAATACATTTATTAGTCAAAAACACATTGAAGTAAAAGGTGACAGTGCACTTTAACGCTGTTCTTTGAACTTTGTATTCATCAAAAAATCTTGTATCATGGTTTCCACAAAAATGTTAAGCAGCACAACTGTTTTCAACACTGATAATAATGTTTCTTGAGCAGCAAATCAGCATATTAGAATAATTTCTGAAGGATGATGTGACACTGAGGACTTTAGTGATGGCTGCTGAAAATAAATGACATTTTAAAATATATCAAATTAGAAAACAATTATTTAAAATTGTAATAATACAGGGCTTAAAGTTCTCCGGCACCTTGCCGTCGGACAGTCATCCTACATTTAAAAACTCCTACATTTAAAAAGGGAATTTACCAGTAAAGACTGTATGTGTGAAAGGGGCTGAACTCTTCCTCTGCATATGCTGTGAGTGTTGCTTAATGGTCATCTGGGAAAACTCACTTGATTTGTAACGTAAATCATTTAAACCTATGCCAACACAGGAGAATACATCAACATATTTCTAAATATGCAATTTATTGTACATCGCGATTTCAAAATAAAAGTTTCTGACTTTGCATGTGGATTTAAAAAATTTAATGGATTTAAACGTCGTTGATATACTTGAAACACCACCAGGCCATTGGCGCCCTCTGCAGGTATTTGTTATAATATAGGCATATTACATTATGTATTTAACAGTTGTTCAATAAAACCATGTACTTGGTTTTGATATCGTCATAATAATCAATAGATTACTTGATTAGCAAAATAATCATTAGTTAAGCACTAGATTAGTTAAAACATTTCAAAATACAACTGCATTGTTTTACTTTTTATGATTAAAAGACAAATATTTTGTCATTTGAACATTTCTTAAAGTATTCAAACATTGTCTCGTTCTAGTGAACCAAGTATCTGTATTTTGTCTCACCTTGTGAGCTAAGCGTATTGTCACACACCTAGTGTCTATGAGCATGATACAATTTTCCAAGAGTGTATATATGATACTCTTATTCAAAAAAATTTAAAAAGCCTTTATTTCATCATGGCTATAAGTTTTAAGAACAGGTGACAAGTGCACACCTACGCGTTACGGCTATTTTGCCTTCGTCAGGGTGTCAACCCTGTGTATGTGTCCGCCACTGCAACCCCCACAGGGCTCGCAAAATTTCAAAATCGCTGGTAGCCATTCAGGCAGACATTCTTCAGATTTTGGTAGCCCAAAATGAATTTAAGTAGCCCGAATAAAAAAAAAAAAGACATCGGCTGAACTTCATTGCGGACAAATCAGCATGATTAAAAACTTCAGTGATTGCTTGTTTTCTTCAAATAACAAGTCAAGAGAGTAGGGGTGCAACGGATCACAAAACCCACGGCTCGGACCATATTTCAATTTCTTTGATACCACAGCAAAAACTAGTAGCATATAGGGATGTAACGATTCACTCAACTCATGATGCGATGTGATACGATTCACGATACTGATTTCAGAATACAATTTTCTCACAATTTTTCTTTTTAACAAAATGAGATTTAGGACAAATTATAAATGAAAAGGTGTCCTTTTATTATTTCTGCACATTTCTTTGTGAAATTGAAATATGTCAAATAATAAAACTAACTTGAAATTTTAAAACAAATCCGAAATCCAATAATGAAATAATACAAATAAAATAAATCTCTTCATATAAACAAATTAATGCTTTGGCTGTGCTTTTTCCATTGATAATAAGAGGCAACCACTGCATTTTAATCACGATCCAAACAAAGATGCTAAATACATGTTATTTAGATTGCAATTAGATTGTATCATTTCGAAATTTGAAGCAAAAACAGAATGGTTTGATTTTAGCTTTGTGAATGAGACGCAAATGTCACTCTCTGACAGCAGGTGGCGCTTATGGAACAGCAGGTATTTATAGGCTGCTGCCCCTTTAAGACCGAATGCACGGATTCAATATAATGATGCACTTGAGATTTCTTTCTCCACTGTTTACGTTCACTTAAGACATAACCGACTGTGTTTATGAGAACACTTGCCGAGACAGTTATTTTGAGATAATTTTTTGTGTATGCGTTCATTCAGATGCAAGGATACGCGAAAGAGAAATCAATTCTGTGTACGCGCATTGTCTGAATGACGTGGCTCTCTGTGCACGCTTTGAATGAGTGCGCACAGCTCCGAATGCGCGTGAATGGTTTAAAACACTTGAATGTTTAAATCGGCAAGACTTTAGAAACACGTGCAAACGATCAACTACGATCCGTTTTACCCCTAAAAGCTAGTGAACAACGGAAATCAAGGAAGGAATTTTATATCACTGTTCAAGATAGCCCGTCGGGCAGGGTGGTGAAACATTTTGGTAGCCCGACTGGAAAACACAATAGCCCCAGAACGGCGGGCTAGCGATTTTGCGAGCCCTGCCCCAAACCCCGGAAAAAAGTTCAGGCTCGGGATTTTTTTTTTTGCTTTAACCCCTGAATAATATTTCACAGTATTACTATTTTTGGAGTGCTTTTGAAAGTCCACCCACTCAGCAGCTAAAATCCTCTTCAAAATCCAACCCATAATGTTTTTCTCATCTACATTTTATAGATCAGTGTGCAGAACTGCTAATGGCAAATTTACTTTGTAATTTACTACTTCTAATTTATGGTCGTTCTTTTCTTGTCTTTAAAACGTAAGCCAATAAGAAAACTCAATATCATGTATTTTTGTTCTTCCCCTTCCTTTACGCCCCTGAAGACCTCACTATCTTAGTTCACTCACACCTCTAACACATTTTAATTAGTTTCATTACACACATTCTCTTCTGCTCCCACATTCGGCAGTGAAAAGTAATTTAAATACAGATGTGCCATGCAAACAGATGGAACAAGGCCCATCTGACAAGGAGTAAATCTCATGTGACTGAATTGTATCCGTTAATAGAATGCTCAGTTTCTAAACAAGCCCCTCTATTTATATTGAACTACATGGCAACAACATGTTACGACCTCTCTGAGCACCAAGTGCTTCCTGGTTCTCATTAGCACCATGTGATTTCAGGTAAAAGCTGACAGGTTTATTATTACTCAAGCCATAGAACAAACATCATGACTAAGAGGACAACCTGCGTCTATAGTCTGCACTAGCTCCACCATTGATGTTTAGCCATAGATGACAGTCATGTCACGTACATCTTGAACACTGCTAATATTAGTTCTGCCATTCTTTTCAAGGCCTCCTGTTTAAGTTATTAGTAGTTGTGGTCATATCTACCTCTTTTAGCTGGACTGTATACAACTGAAAGGACAGCTCATTGTTTAAGGGCCTCAGGGTGAGGAGGAGAGCAGTTCATGTCTGGGAAAAAAAAAAAACAGGTCAGGTCGGAATGTGTACACAGGCATTTTGCACGTGTCAGCATGTTTTGTTTTTGTTTTTCTGTTGTTAGTTGTTGTCACACTGTATTTTGATGACAGTTGGTTAAGATCCCCCTTGTTCCTTTTTACTCTCATCAACACTCAGTTGCACAGTCACAGTCAAAAAAAAGGATAAGCTACAACAGTTAAACATGTCAGCTGTAAAGACAGCTAGACGAACTTCACCATGACCAAAGCTGATGCTAGAATAGCAGTATGTAAATGTGTTCAGCTGAAATATCTAGAAACATTTCAGTGCATCACCCATTTTTGCCTCTGAGTAAAAAAGTGACCTAATTGGAACTTTGAATCTCTCGTAATTACTATTTTGTCTAGTAGTTGCAACATTATGTCACACGGTCACTTTGTCATATTTTAAACTCACACCTCACATTTACCTTTTCATTTATTTGTTTTATTCTAAAGCAGAAACTTTCTTCCATACTGTACACTGTAAATAGTATGTTGAAACTCCATCTGTGTAACTCAACCTTGTGAGGTTTCAGTTTCTCGAGAATAAGCTTGTCATGCTGGATTCCTGTTGGAAGCCTAGCAAGCCAGTGCAGGCTAGCAACAGTGAGGGCTAGCCGGGTTCTGTATGCGGCATTGAAGCCTTTCTTGCTTAGTTTTACACTGTAAAAAATCAGAAGGTGAGAGAGCTCAAAAAATGTGAGACAAGCAGATTCAACTTTAAGTATGCACAACGTGTACACAACTTTTTTAAGTGTACA